ACAGTGTGGTTTCACAGAAACCAAGACAACTTGTGACACATGGAGTTGCCAGTAATCATAAAGAGATATTTTATCGACCCTTTATTTCAGATACTATGTCAGATGTCTTACATTTGTCACTTCCACTAACCCTGAAATAGGTATTATTGCCTATTTTATAGACAAAGTAGGCACTAAAGAAATTTATACTATGGGCTATGCAGGAATTGAGGGGCTCCATGTATTCAGATAATGAAGCATTCCTCTGCTAGAGGGATGAAGAAGGCAAAGAACCAGGACTGAGACCCCAATCAAAGTGGGACAAAGCAAGGATAGGAAAGCCCAAGTGAAGAGAAGCTGGCATTTGTACAATGGAGACAGTAGCTCCTACTCTGCCCTTTCATGACATTTCTCACTTCCTAACTGTGTAACTTAGCCCCTCTGTCATTTTCTTCCTGTCAGTTGCTCACTGTTCTTATCAACATTAAGTCATACCTTCTGGTTCTGATTTCTCTGCCAGTCCTTTACTAATGGGGCTGTTCTTTTATATACTCTGCTCTGAATAGATAGGAAGGTAAGTTTAATTTTCGTTCTGTATCCATCCATTTATATTTTTTATTTCATTTCTAAAATTTTTATTCCTGAATTCTAACTTTGTAATGAATGCTGTATATATTACCTATCCTTGCAAACATTGCTTCTAGTTTTTAAATCCTTCTCTATTTTGGTCCCCTCAGCATCCTTTTTCTTCTATTTTTTACATGAGTATCTTCATGGATTTTGCCTAAGAAAGACAAGCAAAATAACTTCCTGTTATGGGCTTATATTTTCTGCTTATTTTCCATCACTAAGGACTTCTCCCGATCATACAAAAATACTGGGTTTTCATTCTGCTTGAAGAAATCCTAAAAATGTATGCTTAGTGCCTTTGTTCATCCTAAGAGTATAAATAGTCCTCCAGCTACACAAAGAACAAGGAGAGAAAAGTCTCCATTAAGGAAATGTGAGCAGGCTCCTAGATATAAAGAGTCTTCTTTCTACAACTGAAAGTCAAAGAAAACATGTTAAAAAAAAGCTATTGACCATCTTTCTCAGTATCCTCCAAAACACCTATCTCTTTTTTCTCCCTTATGGTACAGAAACTGCAAAGTTGCTAAGCAAATACAGATTTACGCTCATGCTGGAAACCAGAAGCTTGATTTCCAGATGTGACTGTACTCCAGCCAACGTGGAAACCTACTCCACAAATCTGCTCTTGCAAGGAAGAAGCCCAATGAAAAGAAGAGTGGTCTCACTTGTTTTTCTCGTTTGAATGATCAAGATTGTACTTGAAAAACTTTCTAGCTTGCCTTTAAATCTCATTGTTGCTTTCGAAGCTTCCATTGACCAGTTTTATAGAATCTCTATTACTTCTATCTCTTTCATACCAAGAAAATGAAATATATTGCTCTTTAAAATCCCAACTCCTCATCATACTCAGGTCTCAAAAACATCACTTGTTATTTGCCAGGCAGCCTCCCGACTTTCTTCAAAATTTGTTAAATCTCACCATTAAACCTCATCATATCTTATGAATGTAAAGACTTGACTATTCACTTCCTTCCTTCAAACTAGAATGACCCGATCATCTGACTCTCCAGTTTATATGGCTCTTGTTGAATTCCATCAAAGGAAATGAAGAAGAAACTATCAGAATGGTGACAAAAACACTACCAGAATGTTTGGGGTCAAGGTGGCCAAAAGAAGGGGTTGTTTCTCTCTCTCACTCCCCCTTCTCTCTTTTTGAGACAGGGTCTCACCTATATAGTTCAGACTGGCCTTGAACTCACTATGTAGTCTAGGCTGGCCTCAAACTTGTGGCACTCCTCTTGCCTCAGTCCCCTGAGTGAATGTGCCACCATGCCTGATGCATAAATTTATATCACTGAACTCTATGGAGAAGACCTCAATGAACCTTTCCAAGAAACAATCTCTGTTTCCTCTTTACAGGTATCACCACTTGGACTTTAGTTTTCTGTTTTGTTTGAGACTACGTCTCACTGTGTAGTTCCAGGTGGTCTTGAACTCACTATGTTGTCCCTGCTGGCCTTGAACTCCTGCATCAGCCTCTCAAGTGCTAGGATCATAGGTGTGCGATACCACAGCTGGCTGGGGTTGTTTGAAGTGAGGCTATAAAATAGTATCAGATATTGCCAGGGGCAGGTAAGCCAAGAATTCACAAGTTCTTCACAGATACGGTATGAGGGTATCCCCTGATCTTGATAGAAGCAGCGTCCAAGGTGGTGGAATGTAGCGGGCTGAAGAATAGATGGGAGGTGAGGAAGAGACCACAACACAAAACAAGAAGAGCTGAGTCATAGGAAGTACTGTAGTTGGAAAAGTGGGGAGGTGGCTGGCATGGAATGTAAGGACAAAAGAGGATTTTTTTTTCTGTAAAAATAGGAGAGGATTATAAATTTACACAAGACAGAATGTTAAGGCAACACACCAGTAATATGGAAAGAAGAGTAAGTAACATGTAAAAGGTCTTGAGAAGGCGAGAGAAGCAGCCTGAAGCAAACAGACACTAAATTCTGTTGGAAGAAACAGAACCACAGTAATGGTCAAGGTGGAAAATGAATGCAGCTGTAGGAATCAGATGCTACAGGAGATCTGGTGGCAAGCTCTCTTCCTTTACGCAAAGGAAAAAAAAAACCCTTAAGAAGTCTGTTAAATTCCTCCCTGCATAGGACATGCTTCAGAATAAATTTTACTAATTCAACAATTATCTATAGGATTTTGAGAATATAATCTTTGATTTTAGACATATAATCTTATCAAGAGTAGGGCAGTGCAATTTTAAAAATTAATGTTTTGTGTTCAAAACTGCTAGAATCAGATTTATTTTATTCAAGAAAGTGATTGCAGGCAATATAATTGTATTACAGGTGGTATATTTTAAATTAACTATATACCACATTAAAGATGGTAATACAATGAATAATCTAAATTTAAATATAATAAATCATGGGTCCTAAACTAGACACATCTTCTCCTTTCTCCAAAAAACAGCCCATAAAGCTCAGGGAATGGCACAATCACTCATCTAGTTAACACAAAGCAGAAATCCGGGCATCACATTTGATTTTTTTTTTTCTTCCCTTTCACATCCAGTCTGTTACTAAGTTCTATTAACTCCATCACTAAAATATCTATGAATGCATATTCTTCTCTCCATTTCCAGGGCCTCTTTTCCCTTGCTACTGTCACTTCCTAGCTGTCTGCTCTTCTTCTCTTTCTTGTAACCATTCATCACACTGCTACCAGAGTGATATTTCCAGTTTTTATTATAGGTATCACTTTTGACTCACAACTCTTCACAGCACTCCATTTTAGGATAAGGTCTAAACTCTTCAGTTTATCCTGAAAAGCTACCTGTGAATTGGGCTCTGCTTACTTCTTGGGGTTGTGTTCAACCATGTTCAGCAGCCACTACTCTCTTTCTAACATGGCATCTTTCTTCTTTGCTTAGACATCTGAATGCTGGTCTAGGCCTTACCTCTCCTGAGGCAATTATCTTCCACTTCTATACAAAATGTCCAGCAGCTCTGTGCAATCTCATTCCACAGCAAATGTCTATAACCTATTCAATGTATGCTTAACTTTGCCTTATCTGAAACCCAGTTCTCTATCGAGGATACTGGTACCTTTGTACCTGAAGACAATCCCTCCTCTCCTGTGTTCCAGAATTTTGTCCTATTCGTATTTCTTTTCTCTCATACTTTCGACCCCTCAACAACAAAAAACATGCTTATTTTCTCATCAAAAATAAATCAATGTTTACTGGAGGAGTGTAGCTCAGTGTTAGACCATGTGCTAATGTGTGAGGCCAGCTTTAATCCCCAGCACCAACAAAATAAACAAACATCCTTCACCAGAAACCAACAAACCAACTGACATTCCTTCAGTCTTCTGTCTCCTCTGCTCAGGCTCAGGTCTTTCCAGTACTCTGTACTTATTTTCCCATGTTTCACTCTCTTCTCCAAGTCCTGCACCATGGTTTCAGGTTCCATCCTTTCACTGCCCTGTAATCACTAAAGGGTTATGTGCTTCTTGCTGCTGAATCTAATAGGCAGTTCTCAGTCTGCAGTTTATTTATTCTTCAATGCACTTCATTTTTACACATTTGGTCAGAAGTGCTGAATGTGAGGCCATAGACTGGTACTGCTCAGTGGGCCCTTAGGAAATGGGCTGCAAAGTAGGAGGTAAACTGCAGGCAAGTGAGAAGCTTTACCTGTGTTTACAGCTGCTCCCCATTGCTGGCATTACTGCCTGAAGTCCACCTCCTGCCTAATCAGATCATGTGTGTCATGGAAACAGGAACCCCACTGTGAACTGTTTCCTTGAGTTCCTTATATATGTAGTGCCTGACACATCTGAGGTGGAGCTGAGGCAATGCTAGTCTGGAGAATGTAGTATCTCAAATATGCTACAAAAAAAAGAAAAAAAAAATAAGAAGGGAGAGGGGGAGAGAGGAGGGAGGGAGACACTGCCTCACCCCAGCCATGGAAAACATTGTCTTCCATGAAACTGGTCCCTGGTGCCAAAAAATGTTGGAGACAGCTGCATTCAATAACTTCCTCTTTCTTTAATGCAGTCTCCTCTTGGCTGCTGTGACAACATTCCTTTTCCTCTACTTCTCTGGTCACTGCCTTGTTTGCTTATACTGGCCCTTTATCTCTGCCCATTTTCTGACATGCTGGTGCTCCTGAGGCCTTCTCACTTTACTTTAGACTTACATCTCATCATTTTACTTCTAACTTAACCTCATTCCCTCTCCAGGTTCTAATTAACACAAGTTTTAATAATTTATCTTTAATTGTTCAAAGAATCTGAGAACAGTTATCTCTTATTTAACAGATATTATACAGTTAAAAAAATCTATTAAATAACATGGTGCAAATCTCATACCTTAATTCTTTTAACAATACTTTGGTTATATAAAACACACACATGGAAATTTAACAACAAATGAAAATTACCTCTATCGCCAAGGTCTCTAAAAAAGGTTGATCCACAACCAGCCTTTTGGATTCCTGCCAGGACATCCTCGATATCCTTTGAATACACATATTAAAATCTTTCAATTTAACTTATAAAAGTTCATTTTCTATCTTATCCCAAGCAAACAAACAAGGAAGCAAGCAACACAAAACAAAACTCTCCAACATACTGCTTACCTTTTTTGCCAGCTTCTTTACTGAAGTTTTACCTACAGCAGAAATGAAACATTATTTTAGTGCCCTTATTTCTTGGTAAACTCAACTTGCACTAAGAAAATTATTTACAAGATAACCAACCAAATATTTATTAAAAAGTTTATCTTTACACTAAAATTTAATACCCTTAAATTAAAAACTATGAGCCAAATAATTCTAAGTCTAAAAATACAAGGTAATTTTTTTGCAAGGTCTGAGAGTCTATCTCACTCCAGAAAGAAAGCAACTTTCATCAAGAAATCAACCAACAACAAATGTTGCCAAGACTGTGGCAAAAAAGGAGCCCTTCTCCACTGTTAGTGGGAATTTAAATTGTACAACCAATGTGGAAATCAGAATGGAGAGTCCTCAAAAAGTAAAACTAGAGTTTCCATTTGACCCAGCTATTACTCTTCCTGGTATCTTCCCAAAAGTGTTAAAAGCATCATACTACAGCAATGTATCACATCCATGTTTATTGGAAACAGCCCATATGCCCATCAACAGATGAATGAATAAAGACGGCTGGGGATTTAGCTCAGGGGTGCTGCTGCCTGCCTTGCAAGTGCAAGTTCCCGAGTTGGATCCCCCGTACCAAATAAATAAATAATAAAAAAAGAAAAAAAGAAAATGTGGTATTCATATAAACTGGAGTACTACTCTGCCACAAAGAAGGATACACTTGAGCCATCTGTAGATAAATGGATTGAACTCAAGATCATAATTTTAAGTGAAATAAATAAGACATGCAAGTTTAAATACCACATTGTTTCTCTTGTGTGAGAAATCCTAAGGGTAAATAAGGAGCAAAATGGGGAATAGACATTAGGAAGTAGGAAGAATAAGTTCAAATGGGAAGGGGAACAAGGGACGGGGAGGTGGGGAGGGAAGGGAGGAAAAAAGAATTAAAAAAGAAGAATGGAAGGAAAATATGGAAACCAAGCTTCTGTAACGGGGAGGGGGAAGGTTGAAGGGAGATGGGAACGGGGAAAAAATTAAGATATATATTATGCATAGTTACAAATTCTCTATGATGAATGTGACCACTATATATGGCAAATATGTACTAAAAAAATTAAAACAAAAAAATTAGAAAAGATTTCATAAATGTGTTATCATGATTCTGGTCTTTTGGATGTTGTTGTCTTCATCTGACATATAAAACAACAGACAAGAGGACTTAATACTGGCATTGGAGGATTTGTTTTCTCATATGAATTTGTCAAAAAACAGGCTAGACTCTTTGAGTTCCATGGAAGTATAGTAGTGAAAATCTGCACTACTTTCAACTCAACTGATTAATTATGCATGGTAAGATTATAGAGGCATTTCTGTTGCTGTCAGTTATAATTAAAACTAGTAACATAAGCTATTTCACATGAATTTTAAGATCTATTTGAAACACAGGAAACTGACTATAAAAATGGAAAATCCAATATTATATATCAGACTGATATGAGTTCCCTGCTAAAAGAGAGCTATGTACATATATCTACAAATCTCAATCAATATTAGCTATCATAAAAGCATGGTGTGTGAACCTGTTACTTTTACAGCAGCCTCCACTTTGTAAACATACTGTAGAATAATCTGGGAACCAAGTGAAATGCTTCAAATGTGAAAGAGGAGTCTGGTATACTTTTAGCACTAAATAGGTCTTAGGCCAATGTCTTTTGATGGCATGTTCTGAAAGAGTATAAACTTTCAGAATTGATAAAATGACCTTTAAATAGTCCTTTCAGTGTCTCATTAAAACAAGCACAACAAAATATAAACCATACATGAATATTAAAGAATCCAAAAGAAATCATGCAATTAGGAAGTGGAATCATTTTAGTATTAAATTCTTTACCTTGTTTTACTTTTTATTGGTTATATAGAAATCTCAGGAAGTAGGATTACGATGGTTGGCATTCCAAAGCATCTCAAATTTAGAATTACTTTGAATCTCTTGGAAGAGAAATAATATATTTTGGGTTTGGATTATGAAAGTTATGGTATTTTAAAACTTTTATTCTTGCCCGTAACTCATCTCTTCCTTCCGTGATTGCTTTTTGTAATCATTCAGAGAGGAAAGACAGCTGAGAGTAACAGTAAGTAGACCATCAGCAGAAAAATGCTTGGAGAATACAAACAGAGAGGCAGGGTCCTTTCTGAGTTTCTCTAGGGGAGGTGCAGTACATCCATAAGAATAAAAGGACAGCCAATGGGCTTTCAACATGCTTCTCACCAGCTGGAAATGCACACTCTGCTGTGGGATGGGCTGGTGATAAAGAGGCAACAAATACATTTTAAATTATTTGCCATCTTGTAGTTTGACCACTAAGAAAATTTATTATTGAGCTGTATACATTCAAAAAATGACTAGAAGATTGGATACTTTTGTATAGTATTCAAAGGCTGTGAGGGCAGATGTCGCTCATAGCACTGGTCCACCGAGGTAACTGATGTTCTGCTCAGCTGCAGGAAAGGGGAAGTGAGGCATTTTCAATGAGTCACTTGGGGCCTACAGAACTGACTTTTTTTTGGGGGGGGGATAAATGGATTACTAACTTGTGCTTTTAAGACCTTTGAAAAGATAAAAGCCAGTTGGCTCTTATCCAACAATCTGCTTTATTTGAATTGTACTATATCAATGTTTTGGTTTACCTACCTGCTTAGATCTACAAGTTCTCAAAAATAAGAAAAGTATTTAAATAATTATGTTTTTATTACAATAATATAATAATAATAATCATTTTAGCGTCATTCTTTATTTCTGTATATTTTCATAATACAATGAATTCATCTACTTAAATTAGATAGCTTAGCAGTTTTAGTATAGAGTTGTACCACCATCACCACAATCTAATTTCAGGATATTTTCATCTCCCCACAATGAGAAAGCCTTTAGAAGTAATCACTCTTCCTTCTTTCCTTTACTAGTCCAAGGAAATCATTAATTTAGTTGCTACATCAATGGATTTAACCTATTCTGGATATATTACATAAGTGGAATCATATAATATGTGCTATTTTTGTGCCTTGTTTTGTCCATTTAGCATGATATTCTCAAAATCCAAGCATGCTGAGTGTATATCTGTATTTCATTTTTATAGTGTAGAAATAATATTCCATTGTATGGATGGATATTCTACATTGGTTATCTTTTATTTACTGATAAACATTTTAGTTGTCTCTATAGTTTTAGCTATTACGAATAACGCTATGAACTTTTATGTGCAAATTATTGTGTGAGTACATTTTTTTTTCCTTAGATACATTATCTAGGAGTAGAATTTCTAGGTCATGTGCTAACTCTAAACTCAGCATTTTGAGGAACTGCCAAACTGTTTTCCAAAGTAATCACACCATTTCACATTCCTATAGGGAATGTAAGATGATTCTAATTTCACCACATTCTTATCAATGCCTTTTATTGCTTGTAAATGATTAATATTTAAGCATAAAACAGAAGCTAAAGAAAATTCAAACAACTTGAAGTCCTATTGGATATCAAATGGCATTGTCTCTAAGGTGACCTCAGTTTTTTTTTTTTTTTGGTTTTCTGAGACAGGGTCTCACTATGTAGTTGAGGCTGATCTGGAACTCACTTTGTAGCCCAGGATGGTCTTGAACTCACAGCAATCCTCCTACCTCAGCCTCCTGAGTGCTGGGATTACAGGTGTGCACCACCATGCCCACTAAGGTGACCTCTGAATGAACAAGACAGCAAAGAACACTACATACTTCATACCCAACTAAGAATCATACTAAGTATAAACTAGTCAATTTAGAAATGATATTTAAAATTTAGTGAAGATGTAAATGGATCTAAACCTTGGATTAGCCAATAGTTTCTTAGCTATGACCATTAATCAAAGGGAAAAAAGATAAATTGGACTTCATAAAAATTAAAAACTTTTGTGTATCAAAGGGCACTACTTAAAAAGTGAAAAGACAACGCATAGAATGGGAAAAATATTTCCAAATCATAGATGATAAAGATCTAGTATTCAGAAGCTGGGTGTGGTGGCGCATGCCTGTAATCCCAGCACTTGGGAGGCTGAGGCAGGAGGATCACTGTGAGTTCGAGACCAGCCTGGGGTACATAGTGAGTTCCAGGTCAGTCTCAACTACATAGTGAGACCCTGTCTCAAAAAAACAAACAAATAAACAAAAAAAAGATCTAGTATTCAGAATATGTAAGGAACTATTATATCTCAAAAACAATAATTGTAAATAAGATCCTAATGGTATAATTGACAATGTGAAATAGGAAGAAAAGGGCAAAAGGTATTGGGGGAAGTGGGAAGGGTAGGGGAAAGGAAATAAGGGAAAAGAAAAAAAATCTGAGAAAACAAAAAAAATGGAAATAAAGTATTTGTAAATAGGGAAGGGGGGAAGGGAGGGCAGGGGTATGGGCAAAAGTGAGAACCAAGACCTGTCATGCAAAGGTATAAGATCCCAATGATGAATGTAACTGTACTGTATAGCTAAAAAGTACCAATAAACTCAATGAGAAACTCAATGAGGTAAAAAAAAAGAAAATGGGTAATTTTTTTTTTGCTACCTGGCATAGAATTCGGGTCCTTGTGCTTATGAGGCAGACGGCAGAACCACTGAGATAAATCCCTGGCAAAAATGGTAATATGAAGAGAAATTTCTCCAAGGAAAACATAATGGCTACCAAGCATTGAACACATGCTCAGTATTATTACTCATCAGCAAAATGCAGATCAAAACCATAATCAGTGGTTATCACTTCACACTCATTAAAATGGCCATTATAATAAGAGAAAGCCCCTCACCCCAGAAAATAACAAGTATTGGGAAGGATGTGGAGAAACTGGAACCTTCACAGAGTGCTAGTAGGAATGTAAATGGTGCAGCTTCTGAAGAAAACAGTTTGGTAGTACTAAAAAAAAGTTAAACATAGGTGTACCATAAAAATCCAGTATTCCATTCCTAGAAGAAAACATAAAAAGCAGGCACATGAATGTTCAGAAAAGCATTACAATGGCAGTCAAAGAGT